CACACATTTCCGTATTAGAAGTACAGAGGATAACTCCATAGAAAGAGTAAGGATCAGGTACAGTGACTTTGTTGATCTCAGCGTCCTAGGAGGTTCATGTAGATCCTCTTAAGTCATCACCTTCAATTTAAAGTTTTCCTCTTTTGGGTCCCTAATTGCTTAAGGCAATTAAGCAACAATTTTATTAATTATTCAGTTATTAGAAATTGAAAGATGATGTTTATTTTAAGTCTGCATCACAGGAGTACTTACTGTGTACACATTTTCATCAATAAAATAATCAGATTATTTGAGCATCCTTTACTTATTGTCATCCATCATTATGACAAAAAGTAAGCAAAATGAATACAGTTGGAACAATTGCATGGACTCCTAAAATCATTTAAAAATAGAATGAGAGAAAAGCACAAAGAAAATAATGAGCCACCACATCAGCAGACGGTCCAAACTCATAACATAGCAGATGGAGGGCACTGATATGGCTGATGTCTCCCTAGAATCCCAAGTTAACTCCAGCCAAATGCACACTGTAAATGTGAAAGTAGTGCAGTTGCCATAGTGCATTAGCAGCTCAGTGAGGTTCAAGTTTAATGACCACACAATCAGAACTCCCCCGTCCCCTCCTTGTGTGGTGTTTTTAGTGTTGGCTTTATCTTCTTAAGAATCCGTTTTTTATTATCTAATTCCTCCTCTTCACGGTTTCTTGAGGTACACTCACCTTGTGTCTGTCATTGAGCTTTCTAAAGAATAGTTACAGTCAATTCAAGTTTCTCTTCTCAACCACAACCTTCCTGACTGCACTATATCTGAACAAGGTCTTTAGAAACAGAGAATCTGCCACACAAAACTGATTTGTACAAGTTGTCTAAAGGTTAGTTTATCCAGCGTAATATGTAATCAACCAGACATATCTCTTCCTGTTAATTGCTTTATCCTCCCTTAAACACATTTGCATAAGGGAAAGAGCTGTATTTCACTGATTACTTGCAAGGTTTGTCTCATGCAAACTGTGCTTCTAGGCTGGTGCACCTCATCTGAAACAGGGTAGAAAGAATGTGTCCCTCTGCAGCCTCCAGGCCTACACAAATATGGCTATGCAATACATGTACCTCTTCTGACTGTACAGATAGACTGCTTTGTGTTCTTATGTATGTATATATCTAGATCAATTATCCACACTTATTTGGAGTGTGATAACTCTTTTCCACCATTGAATACATTCGCCAATCTTTTTATTGTTGATTACATTATGTGGACAGTCCTCACAAGACCAGCTTTTCGTATATCTTATTCAGGTGATTAAGGCAATCTGTCACTGTAGAGACAAGAGGCCAGTTGTATTTTGCAACGTTGCATAGGACTGTCAATATTGGGGTATAGAATGGTACATTATCAGAAATAGGTAAGTTGACCTTTTGACACTATTTCAACATCACAGGAGCCAAGATAAAAGATGAGGGGACAGGTTTGCTTTCTACTTGTGATCAAAGCTAAAACTAAAGCTTCCAGTTCACTGTTTCCAATTTCCACCCTTTCCTTCCCATTAAAATAACTATCGACAAAAATATTGTTTAATGCTGTTATATTAAGACACAATATCTCTCATTCAAAACACTTTAAAGTGAAGACACAACTCAAAGGAAAACATCTATACACTTATTTTTACTAAGATGACCTACTACTCAAATGTTGACGGGCTCAGTTGTAATAAATCATCTGTATATCTGCAGTTAGAATACTGATTGAATCAGAATAGTACATATATGTGGTATCTATGAAAAATCTAGACTTGAAACAGTATTTGATTGATTTGCTCGCAAATATCTTTTGATGTATACTCCTTTTTGCTACATCACCCTTGGGTAGGCCTATAGGCAATGAGTAATAGGCTGGTCTAAACATAAACTACATGTTTTCTAAACTCAGTTGTTTAAGTTAAGCTGAATAAGGTAAAAAAAGCCTATAATTATGTTGTTATGGATACATTTATATGTTAAACAGTGAGGACTATATAAAATATGGTCATCGTATTGCACTCTATGATATGATTACACAGTCTTAGCTTTACTTAATTTTGGTCTGCTAAACTGGTTTGTTTAACATCCAGTAATATGTCAAAATACAAACAGGTGTTTTGGGAATCAGTGGAATGCATTACATGACAGAATGCAAGTGTAGCATTCAGCTCTGTCACTGCCACTTTATTTCAGACTTGCTTTGCTTGCAGTTCATTCAGCAAAGAATCACTGGTAATTTAGGTATTGATTTGCTTTTTCTTTGGCGTGTATGAAATCCAAAAAAAGAATGTTGGCCATGTCCTATTAGATGTTTGTTCTTGAACCAAGCACAAGCTGAGTATAACAGTTGTCAGCAGCAGGCACAATCTTGTCAGTGGTGCTCTTGGATGCAGCCTGTTCCCACCTCTCCTCTCCAATTAATCAGAGGTGCAGTCAGGCATTTTAACCAACATATCAGAGTTTGCTATGTAAATCCTTCCTTATTGCAAATGTAAGAAGAAAAAAACACTATTGTTAGCCTAACCACTAACAACTAATGAAAATGCCAATTCCAGCCTCTGACGGACCAAAAAGGGAAAGAGAAGAAGAAAAAAGGGGCGGGGGGTGTTGTAATTCCCCCTCTATCTCTCCAGCATGTAACTGGGTACATGCGACCTGACTGCACATGTGCAAGATTGATTTTACTAAGCAATGCCTGTGGCAGTCAGGAATAATTCAATATAACTAGCTATAACTAGGTTAAATGTGTATTTAACCAGTACCAACGGGGAGGTGGGGGACAGTGTGCTTATGTGTTTGCAACATTAGTGTGCCTGGGAGTAGAAAAACAAAGGAGACTGTCTTCCCAAGAAAAGCAACAGCAAGTTAAAGTATAAGGAGGAATTATTTAACCTATGGTCATTCCCTAACCTTAACCAAGTGGTTATTATTGTAGTCATTTTAACCCAAAATATTATCTTTCCCTACCCCTAACCAAGTCTAACCAAATCTTAACCATACTGGTGCAATGGCTTTTTTTTAAAACAAGGGAAGTTGGCATGGGTTACTATTGTTACTATTAGTCTTTGATTCAAATAAATAACTTGTTTTGGACAGAAAGAAAATAAAAGTTATTTGATCAAATTATATATATATATATATATATATATATATAAATAAATTCTGGCTGAAACTAGTGTCCTTCAATCTCTATACTCTTCATACATCTTTTATTTGTAATGGCTATTTAAATGTTGTTGATGTTTATACATTTTAAAGTGCAGCCATTTCAAGATATCTTACTCTTCATTTAGCAAGGGCACATGAAATAACCACAAGCAAATAAAAACATTTGTTGCCTCTCTCTGACTGAATCCTGGTAGTGCATCCCTCCATGAGTGAGTCTTAAGGCTTTAAACTCAACCAGTAAATTATTAAACACTAGATGATAAAATGTGAATGGTGTTGTCTGGGTGGCCATTACTTGTTTTTCCATTGCAATGCCTCCATATAGGTCAACAGAAAGCAGTCAGTAGCATTTATTTTAGAAACACTGCTAATAGAAAAGTTGGTAAAGCTATCAATGACTTCAGATCTTACGAATGCATTTAGACAGCCGTACACATGCAGTGCATTCTTAATATTTTATCCACCATATATGACACTATAAGGCAGTTTACGAAACTGGCCCACATAAAACAAACCAAATACGTAGTCATTGTTTTTTTTGTTATTTGAGTAGCAGTCACCTAACAGCATGGATAACACAATTATTGTCTGTACAGATACAGCAAAGGTGAGTTATTATTGGATGTTAGCTGGGGTATTTCTGTTTTACGTGAGGATCACATAAACATACTTTTTTTTTTAGAGTCAGCAAAGATATGTTCAGTAAACGGAGCTACAGCAAAGCAGAAAACTCAAAACCATAACATGTGTCAGTGCTTACCCATTTTATTTTAGTATTTTTATTACTGTATTATTTTTAACAGTAATTGTTCCAAGTATTGTTCCATTCTACCGTATAGATATAGGAGTAAAATCTACTATTTAAAAGTTCCTTCACTTGATTCATATGAGGAAGAAATACATGACATTTCCAGCAACTACCCACAAGGTACTGTTAATAACCAGTCAAATGATGTATTATGACATTGCTGTCCATTGACTTGCATGTTGCACATAAGCAACGGGTTGTTTTAAACTTAATGGCTAGCTCATGAGGCAGCAGCACCATTAACAAGAAAGGTGCACGACTGGCAGCATCCTGTACCAAAACAAAGCTGCTGTGCTGCCATCTGAATGTCTCTGCTTGTTCTGCAGTGGGGAGCTCTCCAGCCAAGTGTGGAGAACTGAGCAGAGATCTTGTGCTGAGACACAAAACTGAAAAGAACAAAAATACCTTAGTGAGGATGATACAGACTTATAGTGATACTGGAAGCAAACAGAAACCCAGTCACTGTTTATCACATTCTAGCCAGACAGGAAAAACAGAACCGTGTCACTGGACTCCAGGGAGTGCAGTGAGTGTGCAAATTAGCAAATGTTTGTTTCTTATTTGTGTGCTGATTGATGGTGACCTCAGAGCTCTGTTGTTAAAATTTATGCAGTCATAATGTTTAAAGCATTAATCTAACATTTCCTTAACTTTGACTTCATTTATAAGTATTCTGGGAATCAAAAAAAGAAACTAAAAATCAATAGTGGAAACGTGCCATTTCACTCTGATAGCTTGGCAACAAACAACCCAAGAGAATGATTGCTATTACGTTTTGTAAAAGATTTCAGGAAATAGCCCAGCTAATGGTACTGCTTTCACTGTAAATGTACTCCAGTTTGGTTTGCTGGAGGGAATTAGCTGGAAAATTAGGTGGCATGGCAACTGTTTATTTGATACGTCTCTAATGAATAAGCAGGAAAGGGTCACTTACATGGTAATTTATTCAGCTACTGAGGATAAATAAATATATGCCACTGTGCCCCTTCTTGTTCTCTCTGTTGCAGGAGAATGCAGCTGTCATGAGGGTTATTCCCCCGATCCTGTCCATAAACACCTCTGCGTGCGCAGCGACTGGGGTCGAAACGAAGGGTAAGCCCTGTCTGCTCTATCCACTCATATCGGAAAACTCACTTGTACTTAAGTGACCTCACTGCTGGTTTCGCAGTCCCTACTCCCTACTGCATTAGCGCACAGTATTAACTTTACATAAAATAAAGGTGAAGTCGCTGTGATGGATTAGCTATCCGAAGCGAGTTTCAAGTCTGTGCAAGTTGATCTTCAGAATATTACAATGAATAGAAAGCAAGGTAGGAAATCAATCTAATAACTTACTGTATGACTTCAAAAGTGTGCACCAGTTATGTTAAATATAAGCAATGTGCAGTTAATGGGCTAAAACATGCAAACGTACCTATACGGTCTTTTAACTTTTGGAAGTAGACTCAATTAGAAGTATATGAAGGAAAAGGTAGGAGGGAAGTTAAAGTATGTAATGAAACAAAACAGCAGAGGAAGGCCAGAGAGTGAAAGAGGGGGAGATAAAGAGACAGATTAATAGAGAGCAACACCGAAGAAGAAAGGCAAATAGTAGAAATTGACTTTATAGGGATAAAAAGTAAGTCAAATGAGCCCTCTCTCTGACTCTGACCTTGTTTGACTATTAGCTGGCTTGCACAATCATTGCTTCAATTAAAAGGTCCCACATTGTTATTCAGCTCCACCTGTCACCTGCTGGATTCAGTCCAGTCATATATCAAATTTCCATTAATAGTTTTGTAGGGGTAACAGCTGACAGAGTGTAATCTTATCCATATGAAAACACAACGTTTGATAAAGTGATGTTAGCTTTGACCTTGTATTTCAGTTGTTTGATTGGTACATTGTATTATATGTTCATGGATTATTTAAACTGCACAATTGCTACATCTTTATCAATGAAAAAAATCATTATGACTTAGATAATCTTAGATTTTTACTCATTTTACATAGACTCAGCTGGAATTATGACGTTGAACATGACATTATTTTCTAATAGAGATTTTCTTATATTTCTCTCTTTGATTTGGTGTTCCCTTCTCTCTGTCCTCAAGTCCCTGGCCGTATGCTAACTTGGAGAAAGGCTATGACCTAGTTACAGGAGAGCAGGCCCCAGAGAGGATCTTCAGGTGAGTCCTTCACTTCTGGTGTATCTCCTGAGTGCATGACTTCTGCTGGCCATCTGTGACTCTGTGGACACACAGTGGAATGATGGTGGCTTTCTTGGCATGTGTTTGTGTGTGTGTGTGCATGTGTGTGACGGAGCATACAGATGAGCAGCCGGCAGATACACATAGCCATAGTTGGATGGACACACAAATACACCTCGCACTGGGGCGAAGTCTCACCCATGGGCTCTTATGTGGAGAAATAGCCCAAGGGGCAGTGCTGGATGGACTCCTTTCAAATGCTTTTACTGCCATTTTTGTTACACTTCTCATTCTTGATGGGGTCATTGTGTCTGACATTTTCCAAGAACTACAAGGCACAAAGGACTCATTCAGTATCACACAGCTGTTCTATTTAAAAGGTTTCACAATAATAACCCAACAATTTTTTTATGTTTTTATACATTTCTATTTTCATCTTGTACCTTTAAATAGTCCATGTCGGCCTGACCTATTGCGTTACATGCACTTTTCAGACAGAACAACATAAAAACAAAATAAACAAAATATAGTGGGTGCAGGATTTAGAAAGCACAGTTTTCACTAGAATAGTAATTATGTAATTATCGCAAGTTAAACAGTAATGTACACAATGCCTTGAAACCCCAAACACTGATAACAGTAATATGGTATCCATAAACATATACCCTTTTTGACTACACACGTTTCAAAAGTTGACATGGTCATTCACTCTATTCAGTTTTATTTGCTGTATATCCTAAGTGAATTAAAGGATAACCTTGATGCTCACTAGCCCCCGGTATAGGTAGGAAGAGTTCTTTTTCACAGTAATCTTGCTCCTCTTCACACTGACCTTGCAGAGTTAGCTACTCGGCGCAAGTCCACTCTAAGAAATTAGGTACTAAATCCACATTCTTTGTTCTGCACAAAAACACATTCCATCTTCCAGCTCTCCACTGCCAGTTAAAAGCACTACTCGGATGGCGCCGGCACAAACCCATACAAAGGAAGCAACCAAATCTACTGCTTGGTCGAATCACTGTGTCGGAGTTTGAGAGAGAATAAAGACGGAATGACACACACACACACACACACACAGCTGTAGACCACAAATACTTTCAGCCATGTCCACACTCATACAGATAGCAGAGAAAGTGAGTAAAGATGCAGCAACCAAGTAGAAACACTTACTGAGTTCCCTTTGGAAGGTTTGTGTATCAGTGCTGTGTAAGGGAGGATAGGAGAAAAGGATGCATAGCTCTTCAGCTGGACAGTGTTAGAGTCGGCCGGTCCTAAAGAGAAGCTTAATAGTAACAGGGATTGGTTTCACAGATGGGGAGCTTTGTAGAAAACCAGTGCTGCCTCTCACTTTTTTCTTGATGCTAGGAAAAATGAGAAAATAAGCTTCCTGTGATGTGAAGGCATGAGGGTTACACAAAGAATGGTTGGATGGAAATGCAATGGATTGAATGCAATAATTTAAATGTTAATAATAAACATTTTGAAGTCCAGTTGGGTTTGAATTCGTAGATAGTGAAGGGAGGTCACAAGTGCAGTGCATTCAGATTCTCTGACTCCAATTAATACACTGGCAGCAGCATTTTTAATGCTGAGGTTTGGCAGCGCAGTAATCAGGTCATGTACAGACTGTAAAAATGCATGTTTGACAGGTTGGATGTCAGTAATATTTCAAAGTAAATAAACTAACATGATGCAAAGGTGGAAAAATACTCATTATAATATTGTTTATGTGGGAGTCAAGGAAGGAGTTTGATTGAATCTTATGCCAAGATTTTAGACAAGGAAGGCCATACAAGCTTTGTTTCTAGGTTTCTAGAAAATTTTTGTTGGCCTCCTGCAGAGATACATTAAAAGCACATAATGCAAAGCACAGCCATGTTCTGTGCTATTTGCAATGCCTTACCAGGTGCTGTTATTCCCAAGCGACAAGTCTAGGCCCGCTGCAGGGGGTCCTCCTGAGGATATTAATCTTCGCTTGAGAGAAACATCTCTGGCAAAAAAATAAATGATTTTTTACACCATCTGCATTTGAAAGGGAGGGAAATTGTTTTTTTTTGTTTGTTTTGTTTTTGGTATTAGTAATTAAAACGCCAGGACACCACAGCTAATGTATTTCTCTAAATCCAATTCTGTTTCCAACAGTGCCATAGGTTCACTGCATGCAAATTCCAATTAAATTACTTGTCACACAGCAACTTTTTACTAGTAGGCTAAACAGCTTTCCTTTGCTGTAAAATAACTGTGCCAGTCTTCATACCCCAAAGAACCCAAATATCTGAGACTCTCATCTATTTGTGTCCCAGACTCTCCCCAAATCAACATCACACCATTGCTTTCTCATTAACCAAGGAATAACTAGTACTGCCCATTAGCCTCAACATATAAAAGTGTACAATATGCCAGAGTTTACAATTATTCTTTCTGTGGGGCCCTCCCCATGCATGTGCTTTAAGCCTACACTTTTCATTGTGTTCATCACTGCAAAAGTATCTTTGTATGCTTATGAATGTGCACACAGCTGTACAATATGTGTATGATAGTAGTTGAGTAGTTTGATTGATTGACATTTATTTCTTGTGGTTGTTCCAACACAGATCATTCTACAGTCTGGGCCAAGGGTTGTGGCTGCCAGTCAGCAAGAGCTTTGTGGTGCCACCAGTGGAACTGTCAATCAACCCCATCGCCAGCTGTAAGACAGATGTGTTGGTTACTGAAGATCCAGGGGAGGTCAGGTCAGTCTGACTCAGCTTAGAGCTCCACACTTGTGTTGTAAGAGAAATTGTGCATAAGTTTCTCTGGTGTCCAGTCTATATAAACTTAAAGTCTAACAAAAACAGTTAAATCAGTGTTTATGGAATTCTAAATCCTGGCCCTACAGCTGGAGTGACACAAGAATGGTTAATAAAACCCCTTTGTTTCGTGGAGTCTATAAGCCCAAATAATTGTTAATATGTCTTTACTTCAATTGTGAGCTGTTTCCATGACACTGGCATTAGTGTTGATGCAGCTATTCTGACTTTAGCACAGATGTTCATTATACATGACATTCCAATATGACTATATAATAGGCATTAAGGAATGTCACAGTGCTACTTCATTATTTTGTGTCATGGCTGCCTTCTTACTACTGTCAGTAACTGGCTGTATTCACCATACAGCAGTATGCTTCTTGCTGGCAACTGTAATTTGGTTTATTTGACATTAAAACTACAGGTAAGCATTCAAAATGTGAGTATTGTATGTAAATGGGAAAAAAAGGCATATTGCTGTAAATGTATCAAAAACATTCAATGTAATTTGCCTACTATGCTTCATAGAATTACTAAAACAGTATAAGACAGCTCTAATAAAATAAAAGGCAAAATACCCATTAAGCATTTAATCAGGTCAATAGATCCTTTAGAGGTCTCAGATTTAGAGGGCTAAAGTGACAAGGAAAAGCATTACACAAACTTAACTTTCGGGCTATGCTAATAGGGATCTAAAAAAACAAATTCATACAGGAAAATAGTGTCAACAAGGTTATGGATTTGCCAATCCCACAGTGCAATAACAAAATATTGGCAACATTAGACTTGTGTTTTTCTCATCCAACCAGCCAGTAGGTGCTGGCATGCATCAGTGCAGCTGAACAACACAAAACATGTCAGAGCATCAGCTGCAGATTAAAACAATCACCCATCTATGGAATCCAACTGACACCCGCCTGAGAAGTGATATTTCATTTGAAAACCAAATTACCCGCCGTTGCTACATAACATACACATGTACTTCTTGTCACATAATGTAAAGGATAGTATTGTGATACAGGTGTGTGCCTGTGAATCACTGCAACCCAATGTTTTACTCACCACACAGATAAATCCACACCATCTTTAACCAATAATCATCAGCACACATGGTTGCACATAACACACATTGAATCAGTGATGCATTTCTTGTTCACTGCTGATTGAATTATTTGCTGTATGGAAAGGCTGTTGTACATATGTTGTACCACATGTACAGACTCCGTTACAACAAACCACATTTGGAAACCACTAGAGTACTTCTGAGAAATTATGGCTTGCAAAAATATATACTTAATCACAGTGACATTTCATGAAAACAAACCTCTTACCTCAAGCAAAATATTTTCATAATGGCAAGGAATCACATTTCCAAGGCTCCCTTAAATTGAGACTCAACGATGAAAAAAAGAAAAACTACTCCAACAGCACATTACTGCAACTTTCAAGCTGTGCTGCAAAACTATCATTTGAAGTGCTTCTAAAGTTTACTGGTATTTTCAAGGAACGATTTTAAGGAGCCCAAACACAAAAAGCTTTTTCAGTTTGCAAATGGTTAATGACTGAATGAATGAATGGTAAGATGACAGAGGCAATGAAGATTTTAAAAATGAAACATGTTGGTCAAGCGGCTGTTGAATTTGGTTGACTGTTGGTCTGTTGTGTCAACCGAGAAATTATTTTAGGTCAGGGGTACTCAGACTTCTTTAAGAAAGTTCCTCGTATTGGATTAACGAAAAATCAAAAGTCTGCAACAAACTCCTGTCCCTGATTTAATGTTTATGTGCGTTTTATCCTTATTGGAATTATTTGGTTTTGTTTGTTTGATTGATTTTTTCAAGCATGGTGGCTTGAATCAGTGCTGTGAACCTGGTGTGACTGCCAGATGGAATCACTGATCCCAGTGTTCATTGGTCAGTAGCTTCAGTGTGAGCACGTTCAAGGGAATGAATGTATTTCTTTATCCGTTAATTTTCTGTTCTCTTGATTAATTTCCCTTTTCTCTGCAAACTTTGAAAACGACACCTCACATAGACACATCACTGACGACTGTGTAAACGCACACACAGAAAAGGGCGAGCGAGCATGCACAAACATACCATTTGAGGTATTTCTGCTAATTCACAGGGGAAATGTCCCTATACTTTAATGACCATGACATGCACACTTTGAAAGTACCCAGGACTGAGGGTACTTTAGCAGTGATTACAGCTGACCCCTTCTGATTGAAATCACACTAAACATAGCTGAGGTACTTTTTTATGCCCTGATCAGGTACTTGCACCTGTTCAATGATTGGAGCAGAGCAAGTGTCAGCACCCAGACTGATCCAACAGGAGACAATCATAGCAGAGGGATTGATCATTGTCCTGTACCTCGGCTGCTGACTTTTACAATGTAGACAACATTATAACACCGCACAAAGTGTTTCATCACCCCAGCATGTTAAAAGCTGCAATGAAAATGTTTTTAAATTATTGAAACACATTAATGCAGAACATGTTCACTTTAACTGACTGGTATATTTCTCTGAATCTTCCCGGCACCCAACTGTCCTCTGTCTTTGATACCGAAAATTCAATAAACTAATTTGTGATTCAGAAAGCCTGAATTGCAGTATCACAGAGTATTGGATTTGTAGGTCTAATATGTATCATATAAATTGTTGTGGAAAATTGTATCCACTGCCACAAAATTCCAAACTTCTCACAGGCTTTATGAAATTGCCTCAGGAGCAAAGAAATCCCAAGGCAATTGTACACATCTGCTAAATCTGACCTAAATGGGATTTCTGCACCCCTTGCCATTAATTAATAAATTGTGATTAGTGATGGTGAGCTACAAAACTGAGGAGGTGTTTTAGAGTTTTAGAAGAGGTGTTTTAGAGTTTACAGCCATGTATCTACATTATGACTGAAATCATGAAAGATTAGAGTTTCTCCATTTAGGTAGGAGGTAAAGCAATTATTTCAAAGCAATTACTTCTTTTGTGTATTTTCCTTTTCTTGACAAGTGCCGCTGTTGGTGCATGATGAATAGACCTTACAGGGTTACATCACAACTCCAGGTGCGAATTGAGCACTTCAGCTGAGAACAAGAACTTAGCTTTTGTTTTCTTTGCAGCAGAGGAGCTCCATTTGGGTTAAAGCAAGTTAAGCTGTGGTGGAAAGATGCGCCTTATTTGTGAAAATGGCGAGCATGTCAGCTGTTGTCACTTCCTGAAATTACACCAGCAGTCTTTTTGTTCTGCCTCACTGATGAGCTCCACTTAGAGATATTAAGTTTAACTTCTACTCAGATATCATATCTGACACTTTATAGCAACATGACATATTACATGCAACTATTGTAATAGATAGAAACAAAGCCATCTTTCTTGTCTGTGAGTTGAACTGCTGAAAGATGAATCACTCTTAAACAATATCACTCTGGGAAATAAATAAGATCTTTGGAGACACGAAGGAGGAAATGCACATTCTATGACTGATTAAAAGCCCACTTTAGTTGGAATAATAAGTTAATGTTCTGTAGTTGGTTAATAATTAGTTCCTGTAACATAGGAGGATCTGTCAGCTTGTCATGAATAATGCAGACAACTCATTATCCAAAGCATTTTTGTGGAACAAAGTCCCATGGGACCTTATGGAGTTTCTGGCTGATGCACTCTCCCAAAGTGTTTATGCAGACGTTGATGTAGTCAGTCAGTCATGATAGACATGTTGATGCGGGAAGTGGTGAAATGCACTGTAGCTGTGGCATTTAAATGGATGCATCCCCATTTCACTTCTGCCCATTGGCTGACTGACAGAACCCAATGAAATGTATTCTATATGAAAAAGATAAGTGATGTCAAGGTAAGTGTCAGCTTGACTAAGCTCAGCTTTTCACTGAAGATGTTTTGTCTCTTGATATTAACATCACCCAACCTCACATCGGTTAGGCTTATTTTATAAACCTTTTAAAAAAGCTGTTTTAGAATTACACTCTCAGTATGTTATCGGGTACACATATTGCCAAAGTAAAGTTCCTATAATGTATATATACATTGAATCACAACACTCATATTAAGAACAAACTTATATTTTTTTCTTATGATTATACAAATTTGGCCGAGATGGGTAGTGTTGCCTCAGATAAGTAGTCTCTTTCATTCCCTGAAAGAAAATTAGTTATGGTTTAGGATTTAAAATACAGCCTGTTGTGGGAACTTTTGGTGCGTCCATTCTGATAAGCTGAACCAGTACATTAGAGGGTAAGACCTGTGTAAAATAGAACAAAGTGCCTCCCTGATTTCACTCTGACTACAGACCTTCTTGGTTATGTCCTCTTGATATACAGTATTAACCTTTGCTTAAAGGCTACCAAGAATAGCTTGTTCAACCATTTACCTATAAAAGAATAGTTAAAATGCTGCCGAATTTTACACTACAAGTGATTATAAAGCCGTCAAGCTATATCTCAAATATTTCCTCTCTTTATTCTCATTATATTTACACTTAAATTACTTTGCCTATAAAGTCTGTGACATATAAAGCTAGTCACTGTAGAGGAATATTCATTCAAGTGAACGTCCATACTATACTGTTAGGCGTACTGAAATACAAGAAACATAAAAGGGATAAAATGGGTCATAATAATAAAAGGCAGAGCTTCTGCTTTTGCAGTCTTCAGCACTTAGCTCTGAGTTATTATAGCTTGTATGAAAGGCATTATTTAAGAATTGCGAGATTTAATACATTCTGTACATACCACATTTGAAATGATGTGTCATTCATTCATCAATTTAATTTCTCTTTAAGCACTTCTTTAGGTGGTAAATGCAAGGTCATAAAGCCAACCATTGACTGACTGAATTAGCCTGCAGTAAAGACTTGCCTTGACAGTATCTTTTGTTCAGAGTAAACATTCACACACTTTACATTTAAGAGCTGAACGATGTACAG